GTGGGTCCGGAATAACGCGGGGATGCATTCGTGCGGCTCACGCGAGGCTGGCGCGAGGTGAGAGGGGGAGGGGGAGAAAGGGGAAGTGGGAAGTGGTCGGGAGTAGAAACGAGAGCGATAAGGCGAGAGATGAGCCGGCCGGTGCGCCGTCCGCGGCCGCGCGCGCTGCCGTTTTGTTGCGAGCCGAGGCATGATTGGGAGCCGTGCCGAGCCGTGCCGTGCCGTGCCGAGCCGTGCCGTGCCGAGCCGTGCCGTGCCGAGCCGTGCCGTGCCGTGCCGATGCCGTGCCGGCCGTGCCGTGCCGAGCCGTGCCGTGCCGAGCCGTGCCGTGCCGAGCCGCGCCGGGTCATGCCGGGTCGGGTCGGGGTTCGCTGGGGCTGGGTCGCGGCATTAGCAGCGTGAGTAGTTCCACGCACAGCAACGCACAGGCTCGCCTGCCGCACGCGTCATTTGTTTCAATCAACGGTCTGCGTCCAATGGCGTGTCTATGCGACTCTGCGCCGCGCTGGCCGACTCATTCGGGCAGTCGCGGGTTTTCGCGTCGCTCCGTCTCTCTCGCCCTCTAGTGACCCTGCTCCCCTAGAGGTGCGAGAGGGACGGAGAACAGACTGCCCGCAGTGTGCCTTTTATTCGAGCGTGTAGCTCCCCTTCCCTCCTCTCCCCGTCTCGAGACAAATGCCCCGTCGAGGTCTAGCCGCTCGATTCGGCCGGCCAGCCGAGCCAAGCCGAGCCGGTCGTGTCTTGGACTAATTCCCGTCTTCAAATGCAGGCGTGCGCGCGCCTGCCGTGGTGTGTGTGTGTGTGTGTGTGTGTGTGTGTGTGTGTGTGGGCGCGCGCGCGCGCGCGCGCAGACTGACCACCCGCCGCCCGCAAACACCGCGCCAGCGACCAGGGAGGACAGACAAAAAGAGAACCGTGACGGCCAAACGGACAGTCTAACGGACAGGCACAGACAGACAGGCGGACAGTGCACTGCGATGCGCCGCGATGCACCGCCGCGGTCCCGTTCATTGTCTCCGCGACGTCGCCGAGGCTCGTCGGCCCCAAAGCCCTTGCCCCGGGCAAGCAAACCCTTTATTCCATTCCGACCTCTCTTTTTGCCCCATTTCACCTTTTTCTCTCTTTCTCGCTCGTCTCCGCCGCCATCACTGGACCGCGGCGGAATGATCACTTGCCGGGGCGAGGCGAGCTTGTTACGGGGAGAGTGGGGCCATCGCCGCAGAGCGCGGAGTGCAAGGGAGAGAGAAAGAGAGAAGAAAATGTTTACTTGGTTTCGCGGATCAAGGTAGAACGCTGCCTGCCTGCCCTGCGCGCCGAGGGATATTAATTTGATCGGAACGGACCGGGACTTGAGCAGCTGTAGCGGTGGGCAGTGCCCCCCCCCCCCCCCCCCCCCCGCCCCGCCCCAGCCCGCCCCGCCCCGCCTTCTCCAAACCCACCCCGCTTCCGAGACCGCACCCTCCTCCTTCTCCAGCGTCCGCTTTCTTACATAGTAGTACTTTTGTTGGCCGGTGTGCATGGCGCCGGAAGGGGCCTCGTTTTATGATTGCTGGGCCGCTGTGTGACCACTGTGTGACCAGTGTGTGACCAGTGTGTGACCAATGTGTGACCACTTTGTGACCACTGTGTGACCACTGTGTGACCACTGTGTGACCACTGCGTGACCACTGTGTGACCAGACCAGTGTGCGTCCCTCGGGCCTGCCCGCTGCCCGCTCCAAAGAGCCTCGGGTTTTCTTTTCCCTTTTCCTCTTTCTTTGGGGAGTGCTTGGCGACCTGCTTAATGCGAGTAAAGGCGGCCGAGTGGTTGGGGCCTGATTCGGAGGCCCGCCCTGCCCAGCCCCGCCCCACCCCACCCCACCCCGCCCCGCTCTGCGACTGGTGCTCCCCGATCATTATCTGTCTGCCTGCGAGATCGTGTTCGCCCCCTTAATGTTTTCCGTCGCCACCTTATTGGGTGGGCCTGGCATTTGGAGCTCTCTCTCTCTCTCTCTCTCTCTCTCTCTCTCTCTCTCTCTCTCTCTCTCTCTCTCTCTCTCTCTCTCTCTCTCTCTCTCTCTCTCTCTCTCTCTCTCCTCTCTCTCTCTCTCTCTCTCTCTCTCTCTCTCTCTCCTCTCTCTCTCTCTCTCTCTCTCTCTCTCTCTCTCTCTCTCTCTCTCTCCCTTCCGCTTCCTTGTGCCGGCGCCCCGGGGCAACGCGACACCGCTGTTTAAAACGAGCTTGCAAAACGCTGCGAACACCTCTCCGTGTTTCGCCCGCTTGTTACGCGCACGCGCACAACACGGCTAGCCCTTCTTCCGAAAAAGGAGCAAAAAAAAAAATGTTCCTCGTTGCGGCAGATACGTTTACGCGTGGCCCCTCCTGGCCGTGACGGCACCGACTTCCGGTTGCTGCGCCTGCTGCGACCCTCGCAGTGCCCCGCAGGCTGGTTCAGAGAGTCGTTTTCGTTGCTCTGTTTCCCTCGCACTCATAGGGCGTCCGGTATGACCGCGAGAGAGACAGAGCAAACGGAAAGGACTCTCAGCCTCCTGGGTGGCCCTGCGGCTCTGGGGCCCTGCGGCTCTGGGGCCCTGCGGCTCTGGGGCCCTGCGGCTCTGGGGCCCTGCGGCTCTGGGGCCCTGCGGCTCTGGGGCCCTGCGGCTCTGGGGCCCTGGGCTCTGGGGCCCTGCGGCTCTGGGCCCTGCGGCTCTGGGGCCCTGCGGCTCTGGGGCCCTGCGGCTCTGGGGCCCTGGGGCTCTGGGGCCCTGCGGCTCTGGGGCCCTGCGGCTCTGGGGCCCTGCGGCTCTGGGGCCCTGCGGCTCTGGGGCCCTGGGGCTCTGGGGCCCTGCGGCTCTGGGGCCCTGCGGCTCTGGGGCCCTGCGGCTCTGGGGCCCTGGGGCTCTGGGGCCCTGCGGCTCTGGGGCCCTGCGGCTCTGGGGCCCTGCGGCTCTGGGGCCCTGGGGCTGGTGGACTCGCGGTCGGATCGCCGCACTATTGTTAAACATTCTCTTGGGTCTCCTCGGGGAGAGCAGCGCGGTCCTCTTTATTTACTTTCAGCTGGCCGCTGTGGACACGGCCGTGTATCAAACTCGTTCATCTCGCTCCCAAAAGCTAAAAGAGCCGGGCAAGGAAGTCTGCTGTCTCGCATTAGAGGGAAAAAAACACGCGCAAAAAGGACCCCGAAAACGGGTGACTTCTTACATTAATGGGAATCGTCGATTCGCATTAGCCCTTAGAAAGATCTCTCCCGGGAGGGCAAACAAAGGGGTTCTTTTTGGCGCCGAGCACAAAGCTCCCTTTTCCTCGTTTGTGTGCCGCTTGGAGCACCGGGCAGCGCCGTGGACGAGGCCGTGGACGAGGCCGTGGACGAGGCCGTGGACGAGGCCGTGGACGAGGCCGTGGACGAGGCTGTGAACCATGCCGTGGACGAGGCCGTGGACGAGGCTGTGAACCATGCCGTGGACGAGGCCGTGGACGAGGCTGTGAACCATGCCGTGGACGAGGCCGTGGACGCCGACGCGCTATGGACTTGGCAACAACTCATATTGTTCGGCGCGCCTTTCGGCCGACGCGCATTTCTTGGCGCTTTTAAAGAAGCGAGCGGGATATTGTTTCGGCTTTCCTCTTCGACTGGCGGGAAGCCCGAGCAGGCAGCCGGCGGGCAGCCAGCCGGCAGGCAGTCCTAAGCCGGAACGCCGAAATGCCTTTCTCACCTGCAGAATAAGAGCAAGACGAGCTCCGGATGTACTCCGGAAGGACTCGTCGCTTTCCACTCGGAATGACAATCCGCTTATTGTCTCAAGGCTGGCTGGCTGGCTGCGTCTTTGCGGCCATCGTTCGCACCCCGAGCCATAAAAGGACTGCGCAGCTGGCGGCGCCGCGCTCGCCGGGCTCGCCGGGCTCGCCGTCTCGGAATTGAAAAACAACACAATATGCCGCCACACTTCGCCTCGACCGCCGCGACGCACGTTTTGTGCCTTCGCGCTAAAAGCACGGCCTTGTTGTTTTTGTTATATCTTTTTTTTTCTGCGGTCCAAAGATTTACTTCCCTTGTCGTGACCTCAGTCAGCTTCTCGAATAAAGCCCCTCGCCAAGTCGATTTCGTGAAACAACACCATTCGGCGCTGCCTTTTCTCGGTTTAAAGCGGGATTAAACGTAAGGAAAATGAAAAATAGGACAAAACCGTCAACCAGCAAGCACCAAGGGAAACAGTCGATTACGCAGTGCTCTCAAAAAGACTTTAGTTCCAAAACTTATCTCTTTTTAATTTTTTTACTTTTTGGATTGGAAAAAAAAATTGTTGATGAGGTACGGCTCAGTTCCAGTGTGAGGGACAAAGGATGCACTTTGTGTTGGTTGCTTGGCCGTGCCTCGCGCTGCGTGTTGCTGCTGGAGTGGGCGGGCCCGGCTGCCCGCCCGGCTGCCCGCCCGCCCGGCTGGCTGGCTGGCTGGCTTCAAGTCGACATGTCCAATCGTCCTAGTATATATATTGGCGGATATCCGTTTCCGATGAAACTTGGGTGCGCCCCTGCCCCCTCCCCTCCCCTGACGTGGCCGCAGATCGTCCTGACGGCGCCCGCTCCGTCCAGCGTCCAGGTAGACGACGGGGAGGCGCGGCAGACCCGAAGCACTCAAAGCACGCCGGCTCATTTGTTCGAGGCGTGTATAATTGTTGTAATGAAATTCTGCAGATCTAGAACTTTTCTCTTTGTGGGTCGCGCGGCTTGTTTTTAAATGTAATTTTTTTGTTTCATGCTTTTTTTTCCGTATGGCAGGGATAGAAAGGGGCGGGCTCTGTTTATCTTTCCTGCTCTGATATAATTTCATTTCCGCCCTTCTTGGGGGAAGCGGGCAGCAAGTCTAAGTCGAGATGAAACAAACAAATGAGTTTCGTTCGCCTCGCTGGAGGAAAAAAAAAACCCTGTTTGCTATGTGTTTCCACTCCGCGGTCGTACTCACCTTGAGGACTTTAATATTTGCATACCCCGGTTACACGTTCCTAACGGTGTGTCTGCTTACAGGACGGGGGTGCTGCTGACCACCACGCGCCGGCGTGGCCCCACTGCAGAGAGAATGCGCCCAGCTTCCGGTAGGGAAAAGTTAGTTCCCGCTAATCAGGGCTGGCCCGAGCCGGGCCCCTTAGCTCGCTGCCGCGCTTGGTTTTACTGCCACCGCTGTGTGTGTGTGTGTGTGTGTGTGTGTGTGTGTGTGTGAGTGAGGGGCAGGGCGGTACATAAAAGGGTTAGGCCGCTGCAGCCACCTGCAGCCCCCCTCCCCCCCTATCCCTCCAGGCCAGAATGAAAAGAGGGGCCAGCGTTATAAATTGGGGCTCGTGCTCGGGGTGAGGCGGGGCGCGGGGTGCAGCTGCTGTTCTTACCTCTTTCCCTCTCCCCTTTATTTGTCCATTTAGCCCCCGCACCTTAAAAGTCCCACCCCCCTTTAAATTCCTCCGCCCACTTACCGCCGCCCCGCCCCGCCGTGCTCGCTAACCTCCTGATTTAGGTGGCGTGATTCGTCCGTGGCGGCCGGCCGGCCCGAGGCACTCGACTCGGGCCGAGGCGGCCAAAACTCGAGACGCGTTTTGAGCTCCAGAGTCGCTAAATGGGACTCGAACCGAACGTGTGACCCCACCAATGGATATGCTCCCCGAACGAGGAATCCATTGGTGGGGTCACGCGCTCGGTTCGAGTCCCATTTAGCGACTCTGGGGCTCAAAACGTGTCCAGAATTTTGGTCCACTGGTCTTCTGACCCACTGTGACCTGGCGGGAGTGGAGGTATAGCTACCTTCTCCCCCCCCCTTCAAAGAATAAAGAAAATTCGCTCTCTCTCTTTCTTGGTTGGATGCGGTATGACTCACGGACTGACTCTCCACTTGTAGACGTAAGTTGGGGAAGAAAAGTACATAAAGGGTAAGGAGAGGACACTTTGGCTTGGCTTTGAGCCACGCCGACTGGCCAGTTGTTTCAATTGAGCATGATAATCTGGGAGTGAAACCCCCGTCCGATGGATGTCGATGCCTCAGCAGTGGGCCGCACGGGGGTGTACTTTTCTCACCGCAGCGCGGCAATCGCGCACCACCACGACCTGTTGCTCCGGACAAGACGGCCACCCGTGCCGTCTGTCGCTCTCGAAGGGGTTAGCCAGCAAGTCGCACATTTTGTGGGTGCCTCCTCTTTCCGTTCGCTGCAAACTGCTCTCGGCCGCTCACGATCTCGCAATGCGCTGGGGAACATCCCCGCCGCAGACACACACATAAACACAGACGCCCACACACACACACAGAATCCGACACACCAACCCACAAACACCAACACACGCACACCAACTCACACACACACACACACACACACACACACACACACACACACCACGCGGTGCGTTCACTGAGTCGGGTCTATTTTAATGAGGCCCGCGAGATGAGCGGCTCGCATTATTCGCGGGAAATAAAACCGCGGGATCGTTATTTGGGACACATAGGCCCGGTGCGACCGGGCGGCGCGTCGCGGCGCCGGAGCGGTGCACGGTGTGCACAGTGTGCGCCGCTCGCCGCGTCTGCCTCAAAAATTGACATCCATCCCTGCCGTGCCGTGGCGTGCCGTGGCGTGCCGTGCCGTGCCGTGCCGTGCTGAGCCGCTGTGCCCTAATCCGGCACGCCACGCCACGTCGCTCGGCTGTTAATGGAAACTGTCGGCGAGCGGAAGTCATGTACTGCCTGCTGCTGAGCTGCGCGCGATTGGAACCAGTCGCTCCTCTTCATTTTTGCTCGCTCTTCGTTTTTTGACCGCGCGGCAGCGCCCTTTTTTTAGGGAGAGAGAGGGGCAGGCAGACGCGCGCGTCACGAGAACGACACGACTACGGGCAAGGCTTTGGAAACGGCCTCGGACGCTGCCTCGGACATGGCGCTTGGTAACGGCCTCCACCACGGCCTCCACACGGCCTCCACACGGCCTCCACACGGCCTCCACCACGGCCGGACACGGCCTCGACCACGGCCTCCACCACGGCCTCGGACACGGCCTCGGACACGGCCTCGGACACGGCCTCCACCACGGCCTCCACCACGGCCTCGGACACGGCCTCCACCACGGCCTTGGACACGGCCTCCACACGGCCTTGGACACGGCCTCCACACGGCCTCCACCACGGCCTCGGACACGGCCTCCACCACGGCCTCCACCACGGCCTCGGACACGGCCTCGGACACGGCCTCCACCACGGCCTCCACACGCCCTCCACACGGCCTCCACACGGCCTCCACCACGGCCTCGGACACGGCCTCGGCCCCGCTGGCGTGGCTGGGCGCGGCTCGGAGTGTCGCCTCGCGTCAATTTGGATGGGACGAATGACGGTAAGCCCCGGAGAGGAAACTCGTGTGCGCCTTCGTGCAGTGCGTCCGCCTGAATGACAGGGCAGCTAATCGCCCCGCCCCGCCCCGCCCTCCCTTGATGAGCGCGGGGCCCTCCGACCTTGTCGCCGGGCGGAACGAGCGGGGCGGGCGGGCAGCGGGCAGTTGGGCCCCGAGGGGCGCTGTCACACTCGCACACAAAGAGCACCGCCATGGCGCGCCATGACTGAACAACAAATGCACACCGCGGAAAACGGGCAAACAACCGCCACGCCACTGCGGAATGGCCGAAAGGGTCGCGCGGATGCCGGCCTGGTCCACTTTCCCACTCATAATGACGCACCTCTTGCTCGTCCCTTCTGCTCCGCGGCGCGGCGCGGCGGCTCTAGCCCAGGACGGCCCGCGCGAGGCTTAGTGCGCGTAGCAGATTAGGGCTGCGCGGCCGGCGCGGCCTGCACGTGCCGCCTCGGTGATTAATACGGCCGCAATGACGGCACCGCCATGGCGCGCCACCGTGATGATGATGATGATGACGACGACGGTGTCGGCCTGATGGCGCGGCCGTCTGCGTTCGCACGGCCCAATCTCTTTCCCGGCCGGGGCCCGGCGGCCCGGCTTCAGGACGTCGACGAGGTCCACGGGTGCACGTTGGGCCAGAAGACCGGTGGAGGTGGTCAAAATGCCGGACGTGTTTTGAGCTCCAGATGGAACTGTACCGGACGTGTGACCCCACCAATGAATTGCTCTCCGAACGAGGAATCCATTGGTGGGGCCACACGTTCTGTTCGAGTACTATTTACCGACTGTGGAGCTCCAAACGCGTCTAGAGTTTTGGTCGCCAGCGTCGGTCCTCAAGCTCACTGTGCGGTGTGCCACCGGCAGCGCTCAAACGGCACGGCATGATTACTGGGCCCTCATTTACTGCGACGGTGGACGCGGCAGCCTGTCCGCAGCCCCGCCGCCACGCCGCGGCCTCTGTCAACCTTCGGGAACGTGCTGGAGTCGAGGCCGGAGTCGAGGCCGGAGTCGAGGCCGGAGTCGAGGCCGGAGTCGAGGCCAGAGTCGAGGCCGGAGTCGAGGCCGGAGTGCCCCCGAGAGTTCCCCGTGCTAAAACAACAGGCTGGACTGGCTGCCGGCTGGCGGCCTGGCGTGGTCAGACGGCGGCGGGCGCAGCGCGGCGGCACCATGGACCGACAATGGCCGCCAGCTCGGTCTTCCCGCCTGCCAGTCAGCCTGCAGGGTAGGCAGCGCTGATGCGCGGCAGTGCGGCGGATTGCCTAGCCGCCCGGCTGCAGGCGCTCTTGCTCGCCCAGCCCTCTCCCCGCGCCCTGCACTGTGCCACTCTGCCCCGCACTGTGCCCCGCCCGCTTGCCGCGCCTGTCGCCGCCAGGCCTTCAGGCCGCCAGGCCGTGCAGCAAGTGCCGAGAGGGATTTGAGAGGGCGGAGGAGATTAGCAACAACACTGTGTTGCACGGCCCCGAGGCCCCGAGCCCCGCAGGCCCGCAGGCCCGGAGGCGCACAGCACAGCCCCAGCCCGATGGCGGTGATGACTTGGCACTACTGCCAGGCCGTCGGGCCGCCGGGCCGCCGGGCTTGGAGGCGGTGAGGAGCAGGGCGTCTCGAGCGTGCTTGGGTGCGGCGCATGGGGCGTGCGGTGAGAGGCCCCGGCAACTTGGTCTCCATCCACCTCGCCGCCTCGCTCCGCCCTACTCTCTCTCTCTCTCTCTCTCTCTCTCTCTCTCTCTCTCTCTCTCTCTCTCTCTCTCCCTCCCTCTCTCTGAGTGATGATTCACGACGAGTGTTCTCAGCGTGATGAAGACGGGAAATTGGTGGTCAGGAAATAAAGCAAAGCGAAACGAGCCCCGCGTCTGGTGTCAACGTGCTGCCCCGTGCCTGCTGGCGTGTCCCAGTGCCGCGCGGGTTTCCCCAGGAAGTACAAGGGCGCTTTCAGGGCTTAATGAACGAATCGTGTCGAACGGCTGGTTAAAATGCCTACACTGGTGAATGACAGTCCCTGCCGTCGCCGTTGACGTTCTGACGTGTGCGCTTCGTGCGCATCGGCCGGCCGCGTCCCGCAACCGTGGTTCTCGTGCACACTGCGAACAGGCCTTGCTCATGGCGCGTGGGGGTGAATCTAATCATCGACAATCCGTTCAAAATGACAGAGACATTCCAGTACTTTGCTAGAAATTCAATAAACTTCAAATTGAGATGACATGGGAGCTACAGTTAAAACAAAACGACAACGGAATCGGAACAGAATTGGAGAAAATTGGGGAATCGTTCCGAAGCGGGGCGGGCTTGTTTGACACCGCCGTTGCAAATCTGTCCCACTGTCAGGCGCCGCGCCTCGCTCCGCGCTCCGCCTCGAGATGGCTGCCAGACAGCGGACGTGATGGCCTGGAGGACGAAGAGGGGGGGGGGGGAGAGAGATACATCGCATTCGGCACACAGACACAAGCTCGCGGCTCGGCGCGTGAAATCTCATCGTGATTAAATTTTGTGACGGCGGTGAGTGTACACAAACACTCCCCCTCACACACACACACACACACACACACACACACACACACACACACACACACACACACACACACACACACACGCACACACACACACACACACGTACACGGAGACTTACTCCCGCTCTTTTACTCTCTCTCTCTCTCTCTCTCTCTCTCTCTCTCTCTCTCTCTCTCCCTCACACACACGCGCGCGCGCACCTGCAGCTTCGTGATGGCA